CGCTCCTTCGTTGCCCGCTCGAAAACTCCAAAAAGCCACCAATAGGAGGGGGACAAACTTATCCAAGTGACTCCGCCCTTAAAATCTGCGCAGATTGTTCGACCGCACAGCTGATTTCGTCGCAATCCGACGGAGCGGTGTCAGGCGCCTGGCCGTGGGGTTTTTTTACTCACTGGCTGCGACCATGACTGGTAGAAAATGCAGCCGCGGACGCACTCATTTCACGCCTCCTGGCTGTCCCCTCGGACGACATCGACTGTGTCTGGTTGAAGGAAATTCACGCTGTTTTATGGGGGAGTCAGTTGGACAAGTTTGCTCCCCTCCTTATTTTTGGCTCTCCCCTCCAAATGGCGCGGCAGACGAGCGCACCAGTAAGGGCAGCTCAGTGGTCCAGTACTCCACCCATATGATCAGCTTGGCTCTGGTCACCTAAGGCACGTTTCACGCTGACCATGTGGGCGTCAGTTCTCGTCTCAGAAGGTGGCATTCCAGAGAAAGCGATTTAGTGGTTCTCTGTTTCTGCCCATCTGATAAGTGCAGAACCTCCATTTGATTGCGCCATGCCTCCATCTTCCATACAGAACAGACTTAGAGGATTTCGGAACGGATTATCAGTGGAAAGTGTCCCTCGCCCCTCCCTAAAACCTACCGTGAGGGTCTACCGCAGTGTGACTATGTTCAACATCTTGAAACGTGCTTGTTTGTCCTTCTAGTACGATCCTCTAGCCCTTTACCCCACCGCTCCACCTTCACCTACCCCCGTACTACCTATCGTGTTAACAGGTGTGGGGGGGCGGGTGTACAGCACTTGGAACAGGAAAGCCTCCAAAGGTCAACAACTGGAAACTATGGCCAGATACTGCCATACAGCTCCCTGTCTACCTATAGCAACCAAACACGACCCTCCCTCCACTCTCCTTCCACTGGCTGGGGATCCGCAACGTGCGACAGGAGTCCATCTTTCGACGGTTCAATCAAATTTTCTCGTCTCTAATTTTTTGGAGCTCAATTGAATTTTCTCTTCTCAAAACTGATTAGAGGTTATTTGTTACAATGAAATTCATTGTAAATGAATTAGTGTCGCTATGCATGGAATTTAATGAAAGATGTGTCCTTGCTGTGCTCATTGCACCGATTTTCCCCGAAGCGCTGCGCAATGCCTCTTGGACAATTGTCGTAATCGAATCAACTAGCCGTCGTTCTTTTCAGCGTTTGATCGAAAAAGCCGCTCGTCTTCAACGTAAACGTCTACGTGGTCAGAAACGCGAGAAGTTACGACGTGAACGGAAAGCCCGGCACAGCGTGCTGAAGAAAGCGATACGAGACGCTAAAGCGATCCAAAAAGCTGCAGCAGCTGCTGAAGGGTCGTTGTGGTTCGACAGGAGGCTGAAGAGACTAGTAGGAAATCTTATACACGGTGAGATTTCTTTGCAAGGAGTGGTGGTTGAATCAAGGCGTTTCCTTGTTTCTTATGTTACCGTATCATCTCATTCAAAGATGACTTGCAGAGAATCGCTAGCGTTTTTTATACGTCTGCAAACGAATCCCACTATTCAGCTGACGGTTAATTGGGTTTCATTCGTCTGTTTTCTTCTTGTGCGGCGAGAGGCTAATGAGCAAAAGGGCATTGAAATGAAGTGGGAGGGGCGTTTTGTCAACATGTAGCGTTTGCTCCTCGAAGATGAGGCCCTTCGTCCCCTTTGAGCCTAAGGAAGATCAAGCTTCTTCACTCTATCCGGCGCGCATTTTGGCCGTGCGCTGCGCTCTGGCGGGACACGAAAAGCTGCACACTCCTTTCCAGCAACGAACAAGGCCTACATATTTGGTCAAGCCGACTTTTATGACCGTTCTGTTGGTCATCGCGTCATGCGACCACAGCGAGACTAACATCACTGGCGCATAGTGGATACTGCTGTTAGGTATCGTTTTCAGGGCGACAAATTCCATGAGGCGGAAGAAGGAGAGAGGCAAGGCGCTTGTACGGCACAGGGTCAGATGTTTTGCCCCTCCTAAGGCGGTGTGGACAGGTCCTAAGGCGGTGTGACGAAGAGACGCCCCAACAAGGCAGTGTTTAGAGTTCGCGGTGACACGCGCTGACGCACTACCGTTGCAGCTGTGCTCCATTGTTATAGAGGAGAAAGCAGTCATAGCGAATATCGATCGGCGCCGGTTGCTAGTGCTTCGAGAAAGTACAGCAAAATAGTGGGGTACCATGCTGTGAGATAGGTGAAACGTGCGCTCCGATCGATATCCGTCTATTGGCTGCGCTATTGCAACGGTAGCGCTCTGACGTACGCCATCGCAAAGTCTAAGCACTGACCATGGCGGTTCTCTATGTCCGCCCACAAGAGCAGCGCGGAATAACCCTTTCAACCACCTCCCAAGCACACCTTCTGCTCAAGGGTGGATTATATCTAGTATACGGTAGCAGTTAGAGGCGCTTCTTCGTGGGCCTACCCTGTCTTATAATCGCTGATCTGAGGCAAAGGACAACCTCACTGGTAGTCCGCTCCCCTTTAGTGCCTCGGAGGGAGGTAGCACAGCGATTGCCCGTCCCTTCCACTCGGTTACCGCAGAATGTGCGTTAAAGAACGCACCTGACGACTAGAGTGCTAGTGAGCACTGTAGAACTATCGCGTTGTTTTTTTTTGTATCGGAGATATTTTTGGTACTAGAAAGTACCATAAATGCGATTACAGGAGCATATCATAATTTTTTAGCAGTAAAAAGGTGGTGTGATCAGCGAATTATCAGACTGTAGTAAAAAGTTTTAGGCACTTTTGAAGTAGTGATAAGGTACTTTGTTCCGTGATCACTGGAATTTATGACCGATTGTGTGGAGATTAAGATAAGAAATGTGTAAAAGATGTCATGTAGGTGTGCTCGTGACCGCTTATCGATTGAAATATTGATTCGGATCTGCAATACGGAAAAAATCATGTTGGGAAGAGGTCATAAATCCAGCACACCCCATATCCCAGTAATGGAGGGGCGTGGCCGCGCACATCATTTGAACATGATGCAAGACGTCTTTTTCATGGGATATTTCCCCTCGGGACAAATGTCTTCCCCTCTTGTGCTGGACAAAGACGTGTTCACAATTGCCCTAAAACGGCAGTGTCTCTCTTCAACGCAGCCGCTGCTACGCCTGGGCGAAGTTCGCAGCCATGCCCTCCCCATCTTCGAGATAAGGGATCTAATGTATCTAGTGAGCGCTGTTTTTTTTCGCTGCGCCCGTATGTGTGACCGTGTAGGGGGCCGGGTAAGTTAGAGCGCTAAAGACGGAATTTGGTAAAGCTTTCGAGATGCTCTTCTATCTGAGTCTGCGTATGGCCTTTTTTGCCTCCTCAAGTCACTGAGAAATCTTACATCACGGTTGTCTCCCTGGAAAGCTATAGTGGCCAATGTTACCTTTATCAGCGCCTTTCGCCTTTTACTTTGTTCCCTTTATCGATTGTGGATGTTTTCTGGGCATTAGGTGCTTATAGTGCTTCAGTCTCAGCGAAAACCCTGGCCCCCACGAAGCCATACAACGACCAATGGCTGTGATGTTTCCATACATCACTTATACGGGGGGGGGTACTTTGTTCTTCTCCAAAGATAACCAGCCCAACGGAAAACTCCGAACTGATGGTACAGATTCTGAAGGCAAAGACTATAGTACACATATGAGAGGCGTAATCCATTGCTTGCTTGGAGTGTGCAGTTTCGCAATCGCAGTGATTAGGCTATTTGCGCGAGCAAAAGGTTCGTAGCAGGGAAGCTACGGGACCGCTACTGTCCGTGCGACACTTGCTGTGGGCGTGCGCCGACTCAAGAGGCCACGCCCTCTTGAGGCTGGCACGCCCACTGCAAGTGTCGCCAAGCGCTCAGTGTTTCTTCTTTCTAAATTTCCAAATGCGGAGTATCAACCTCGAAGGAATGATCTTATCTGGGCGTTTTCATTTGACGCTTTCGTTCATATTTGCACTCGTGGAATGTGCCTTTAAGGCTGTGATGTATAACCTAGACAGTCACAGTGTAATTTTACACAAATGCATTAGTGATGAATCAATTTAACGGGGTCCAGAGTTTTTGACATGTTATGGCCTTAAAGTGGCTCACAGACGAGTCTGCCGCGTTGATCACAGACTTTTTCACTTGCTCGGTTTGAAAAGTGTTATCGCAGTGATAGCGTCTTCGGCGAATTCCACTAGATAAAGATCATGTGCCAAGGACAGTTGATGTATTGTGTGTGGTCCTGCAGTGCTGCTTAGAAGTGCGGAATGTACTCTGTACCTTTCCTTTTGCATATGATTAATTGATCGTTTTTTTTCTGTTCTCCCTGCCTGGTCCTTTGATCATTGCCTTTGAATATGTTGTGGAGTCAGGGCACGTCGTTGGGACTAAAGACGTCCCTACCTATACGGTGGCTCCTCTTCAACGGAACGTAGGGGGAGGGGCATGTGGCACGATGAGTATTTGGCAAAATTAGCCGTTTTTCATGTGCTTAACCCCTCTTGGGTCGAATGTTTAGCTACTCGGGCGGAAAGAAGCAACTACTACTTTTAACTTCCAAAAGTAGTAGTTGCATAGGACTCAAACCGCGCCCTACTAGGGATTGACAAATAATTCCACAATACATGGAATATTTGATCAGTTGTACGCTGGGGAGACGGACAAGACAATCGTGAGTTGTCGCTTCGTCGCGCGTGGCATATCGTGCAGTGATGCGCGGGGAATCCCGACATGCGCCAGGTTGTCAACTAGAGCAAAAATTATGTGGATTCAAGCAGAGCAAACATACGTGGGCGCTACAATCTTGCTCTCGCCCCTTTAACGCCAGGGTAGGTAGATATAGGACGACTCGTCCAATGGGGTGCGACGTCGCTCGCCACGGCAACCACATATTATTGTCTTGTCATATACCCGTGGCGCTGTAGCCTTCAGTTTCCATGTGAGTCCCTCGAGGTCCTCTGGAATAATCGCATGTTTCAGGAAGCGGCATCGCGTCGTCGCGAGGAGAAAGCGAGAAGACGTGCCGAGCACGAGACTCGCAAAGAGGCACGTCGTGCGAAACGCGATAAGAAGCGAGGTCGTAAACGACGCGATCCGAACAAGGTCAGCTCAGCTTCGAAGAAGAGCAAGGACGCGCTCAACGCTATCGCCGGAACTGGAGCTGCTGGTGCTGCTGCCGCTGGTACTATCTTAGGCTCGGTAAGTTCTCATCTCACGAGTTTCAC